GGGTCTCCCTTCAGTAATCAGCACCTCTTTTGTTGAATGCACAGGATGAAAGTTGGTTAAGGCTACAGCCAGAAAAGGAAATGTAAAGAATACAATTGAATTAAGAGTGTTATTAAATACAGGGGGAAGTTATCTAGCATCTGCTTAATTGTAACTCCTCTTAGCAGGTAATATCAATGATCCATCAATCAGAGAAAGGGGGGCTTGGAGGAAAGCATGGAAGAGGGGATAAGAAAATCAATATGCAGTAGATGCTGTGGACTAATAGAAAATCAGTATCTGTGGTGCTGCTGCTCACTCACTTGAGATGCCAACACTTTCTAACAAGAGTTTCTGCAAGTGAGTACCAGGCTGCTGCTGTGCTGGGGCAGACAGCAATAAGTGGCCACCGTTCCTGACCAGTAATAGAGGAGAAATTCAGGTAAGGAACAGTCCAGCTCTATGATTCTATTGGTCATGGTGCTCAACACACTTCCCCAAGAGGCATTATATTTCACCATGCAATATTTTGGAAATATGAAAACAGGAGAAGTATGGCATGATAAGGAAAAGAACAGGAGACTGTGCTTTCTTAATGCAAGAAAGCCGTTATACTTGCACACAAACAACAGGTGCAATGGTTACAGGGCCTGATGAAATGTAGCTTATGTCTTCAGCAGCCCTAGGGTAAGTGGCTGTTTTTCAGAAAGACATGGTTCAGTGGCAGAGCACATGCTGTGCCTGCCAAACATGGTGGCTTCATTCCCTGGTATCTTCAGACAGACTGGGAAAGAAGGCTGCTCTCTGAACCTGGAGAGCCATTTCCAGTCAGTATGAAGCTAGATGGACTAATGGCATGACTTGATTTGAAAGCAACTTCCTGCATTTCCAGTTATATACACTCCTAAGACAAAGTCACGTGTCACCTACAGTTGAGCACAATTAGGCTCAAGCGGCGCTACAGTAATAAACCGCTTGTGTGGGAAATGGCTTTGCCAACGATAGAAGACGTGATAGGTTATGATAAGGTGGCCTTCCCCAGTAAGGTGCACTCCAGACCCTGACTGCATGGCCAATGGTCAGGGCTTGTGGGAGCAGTGCTGCTCAACATCTAGAGGGTACAAGTTCAGGAAGGCTGTTCTACAGCAGGCTGTTGGCCTTTTAGCACCCGTGATTCTCTATAGTTGTTGAAATCCTTCCAACAATCTACCGGCTCCTAATAATAGTTTATAAATAACACCTTTATAGGAAATATGTCCTTCATACACGGAAAATAATGAATATGCATTTTCCTTTCTTTTCCCAGCTCCCATCTGCAGGGAACATATGCCACGCACAGCCATTCCAAAAGATCAGAAGAAGGTCTAAAGTACACAAGCTATAAAATATGCAGACTACGTCCTCACACAGAAAAATCACGTTTCTAAACGGGAGGGAAGAGGGGGTGAGGAGCCACTTTGCTGTTAATGAGGGTTTAATTAATTGTCAGCTTGGCTCAGTCATTGAGGGCTTTCACCTCTGTCCCAGAATGTCATGGTTGCCAGGCCTACATTGGGGTCTGAATTCATTGCCAGTGCTGACACTGCAGTCTTACATTAGAGGTCCCAACCTTCCTATAAAGTGCTTCAGCTGTAAGGGTCTTCTGGTCTCCAATGGCAACTCCAGCTGGTAGGTGAAATGATGCTGGCTGGCACTTTTCAGACAGAGTACAGATGGAGCCACTTTCTCTCCCTCTCCCTCTCTACAAAAAACCCTGTCCAATGAGAATAAACTAGGTTCTAAAAGGAACCACAGCTGTGTGCTAGCACATCATAACAGGGTGCATGAGTGAAGTGGGGCAATGGACAGAGAATTGTGTTTGATCAAAGAAGGTTCAACTCCCACTGCTCAGCCATGGGTGGCCCTGAAGCAAGTCAATGTCTGTCCAACGGTGCTTGATATGTTACCAATCAGCTCCAAAATGCATGAAGGCATCGGCTTGTGAGAGTCACCACAAGAATAAAAATCAGTGGAAACTGTGGTGTCTTTAGGATATATATACAACCTTTGCACGTAAAGCCTGAACACAGGATAGAAGGGCTTGCAGCATTAACACTCCAATATATCTTGCCTATCCAAGCCACAGCCCAGAGCAAGACAAGCCTTTGTGTTTCCAGCTTCCAGTAGCAACCAAAACTCTCTCTCTTACACAAACACACAGACCACCTCCTACCTGTTCTCCATCCTAGGATGATATGTCAAGCCAGGTGAGGGGGCAATGCATACCACATTAAGACCAATACCTTACAAACAGACTGCTTTGACTTTTTAAACAGATTCTTCTACTTGACTTCTACTTAACTTCACTAGATACCGAATCACAGGCCAGGAAATCATGCAGAGTGACACACACACCCAATAACATATACAGTGGTACCTCGGGTTACGAACTTAATTCGTTCCAGAGGTCCGTTCTTAACCTGAAACTGTTCTTAACCTGAGGTGTCATTTTAGCTAATGGGGTCTCCCACTGCCGCCGCGCTGCCGCCGCGTGATTTCTGTTCTCATCCTGAGGTAAAGTCCTTAACCCAAGGTACTACTTCCAGGTGAACAGAGTCTGTAACCTGAATTGTTTGTAACCCGAAGTACCACTGTAGCAGTATTATTTCCATAGTTCCATCATGCCCCATTGCTGCATTTTCCATGTGTATGCTTCTCTGCTATGATGAGGCACCAACAAAAAAAAGGCTTCCTATTCAATATCCTCTAATTTAGTATCCTAGTTCAATATCTCCTAGTTAAGGTTCTCCCTGCCCCCATGGCAGTGTAGAGGGTAACCTTTGATAAGAGGAAGTATGACTAACACACTTGCACAAGACTGACATCATGTCTTATTTTACTTGTGAGAGCAACTTTTAACTTCAGCCTCTAAAAATGAATTACAATCTTATTCCAAGATCATTTTCGACAATATTGGTTGCTAGCAAGCTCTTGTTACTTCTTTTGCATTGGCTTCCTTTTCACCAGCCTAGTTTAGGGCCAGTTGATACATCTGTTTAAAACTGTTGTATCCCGCAAACACAAGCATGATGGGTGAGCTACCAAAGAGTAATAGCAGCAGCCATTCCATCAGCCCATAGTAGGCAGGGTGCACAAGGACTACTGGGCCACTTCACCTGCTCAGCTAAGAGGTCAGCAACCTTTAGGTCCTACTCTCCTTGAACTCTTTCCAGTTCAGCTGGTTGTTACAAGAAGTCTTAACTAAGAGCTAGTGGTTGAGTTTGCTTTCCCCCCCCCTTCCTCCTTCTCAATTCCTTTTCCTTTGTTGTCATGTCTTTCAGATTATAAGGCTGAGGGTTGGGACTACCTTTTCCCCTGATTCCTGCAAATTGATCTGCAAACTTTTTGGGGGGTGAAGAGCAGGGTAAAAATATTGAAATAAATAAGTAAGTAATCAGAGACAGAACATATGCACAATACTTTTTCACTGATATTTTTCACACATTTGACTGAGAGTTGTCAAGTACTGAATAATCAAGTTATTGGAGATCAAGAAATTTGTGAACCTGACCTCAGAACCTGGGGAACTGAGTGTGTTGTTGTATGCTGTTTACATAGAAATTCACTACAAGGGGAATTAATGGTAGAATTAAACTTCATTCCTGGGACTCAGCTACATTAATAAAGAAACAACAATTTGAAAGCACTAGAAACATACAACAGCAGATGGCACCAGAAAGCAGGAAATTTTTGTACACAGTTTTCCATAGGGGTTCCCCACCCTTTTGTTATAACGATCTAATTCCTGACTTATTTATAGCATTTTTTCCTATGTGTAGATCCACCTTGGGTGAGGTCTCAGAGCTTACAGATCAGTAATAACTTCTCCAGACAAGTCACACCACCAAGGTGACCTCCTGGGTTATAGCTGTTTCTCTTAAAGGATATTTAGTTGATAATGTATACATTGCACTGAGCATCATCCCTGGAGAAGTGAGCATCATACTGATGGGGGGGGGGAATCACACAGTTCACTCTCTTTCATACGGACTTTTAGGGGCCCAGGACAGGCTAAGGTCAATCCGAAAACCACCTGATCCACAAAGGGAAGTAGTGGACATATTTATCTGCTGGTAGATTTATGCCCAAAATGTCATGGTTTGTTGTTTTAAAGTTCACTCTGATACAAATGAATGATGGTCTATCATGCTGATTTGTAGAGCAAGGTAATCCTAACATCACTACATTCGACATTAGCTTCCTACACTTAGTGAGGCTTAGCAAGGGAAAGAGCTGTATAAAATGGATGGCTACATAACATTTAGTACAGAAGATGCTTCTGGATGACAGCTTTAAGAGTATAGTGCCACAGGAGGGAGGAAAAAGCTCTTTGTTTGGTCTCCTGTTAATATTGGTGTAAATAAAATGCCTTGCATTCCTCTATATAAATTTAATTAGATTTATTTCTGAGATATTGTGTTCCCTTTTTATTTGGTGTGCTGGACTTAGTGCTCTGCTACCATAAAGATATTGAAAAGATGCCATCCAGATTATGAAATAACACGTAAGAAATTTAAGAAAGCTAGCTTCACTGAGGGAGATTTTTATTTTTCAATAAATCACCACAAATCTTTAGATAACAATTTTTACAGGCTAAAAGGGCTGGAGAGATAAATTTAAGTCACTGTGAAATGTCTCCCCATTTCCCTGACAGCACAACTTTTTAACGGGAAAACGTAGGCATACCTCCACCAAAGGTACACAGTGCTCAGCTCTTGACTGCACTGTAATAAGATATGGAGGTTTTACAGTGCACCTAAGGTACGAGCTATTATTTCCTGAATCTGCAGTCCAAAAGAACTTTTTCAGTGACTTTCTCTCACCTCCTGCTCTGTAAGGGATACTTAACTTCACCCATTATGTTTTTTCAGGGGGGATGCCTAACATTTTAAAGGTACAAAATGTAACTAAGACAAATGTGTGTCAAAACATGTGGTACCTGCAAGTCTACCAAATCACAGAATGAGGGAGGCCACACTTACCTTTCCTCTGTGCTTTCAGTCGGAGCAAATGGTAATCCACACAAAACCCGAAGTGCCGTTTGCTTCGATTTGCAGGGGAAACTACAGAGCGGAAAAAGTGGGGTGAACTCAGACACAGAGCTTTAAAGTGTGGACCTGTGGGCCTTGAAAGAGTGGAGCAAAAGGTGAGGATAAGCCCTGAGCACCCGTGAAGCTGAATTAGAGCACTGGTCTATTATCTAGGTCACCATTGTCTTCCACCAGGGATGGGGAAACCTGTGATCCTCCAGTTGTTGTTGGACTACAGCTCTCATCGGCCTCCACCTGCAAGGCCAGTTGCTAGGGATCATGCAAGTTGCAGTCCAACAACATCTTGGAGGCCACATGTTTCCCATCCCTGGCCTACACTGACTGGCAGTGGCTCCTGGAGGCATCACTCTGGAGGCTTTCTCAACTCTGCCTAGCAATCATTGGGTTCTAAACCAACAGCTTGACATGACTTGCTCTGTGGAGAGATGGAGGCAAGGAGTGTTACCATTGCATACAAGGAGGGGAAGGGACTTTAGGGTTCCGGCAGGCTGCAGTGGGAGCCCAAGTGCAATGAAGTACTCACCTGTTTCAAAGTGGGCAAGATCTCAGATATTTGCAGTGACTTGAGAGCTAAGGTTCAGGGTGGGCTGCAGACCAAGGTTCTTCAAAGGTTCTTCAAATTTTCTGCACTGTCAGATGCCCTCAGATTTCTAGAGGATAAGAATGCCTCTTGTCAACAACCAGGAGAAATGTGATGGCGGGATCATAAAATGCTGCCTCATACTGAGTCAGATCATTGGTCCATCTAGCTGCATATTGTGTATACTGACTGGCTGCAGCTCTCAGGACTTCAGACAGGAGACGTTTCCAGTTCTTTTGAAATGCTGAGGATGGAACTTGAGTCCTTCTGTATGCAGCTCAGATGCTCTACCACTGAACTACAGCCCTCCCCCTATACGTTCAGAGAATAAGCAGATCTGTCTGGGTAGTTAGTATGCAAGGTAGTTCTACAAAATGAATGTAGCTATGAAGGATGTGTTCCCTTGCAATGAGGGAGAAGTTTGTATGTTTGTCAGGACAGCCTTTTAGACAGGAGGTTAACTTTCACGGAATGTTCAGATTCCACTGAGGACAAGGAAACCTAGAAATGCCCTTAAATCATGTCTTGAATTAAGATGCTTTCTTGACCCAGAGGCTGGTTTTTAGTGTTTGTAACATGGCATCTGCTTAGTATGAAACATGCAACACCTGTTTAATGAGACGAGTATGGAGTTGCATTGCCTCATGAATTCTAACTGTTTTCAACTTGCAATTATGCAAGGGAAATTTCCATAGCAACTTAGTTTCTTGACCTCCTGGACTGAATTCATAGGAGTGCGATCAACAGTAGCTTTGTCAGAAAATAGATTGGGAGACCATCTGTTGAAGCAACTGACTACCCCATCTGGCCAGCGGCTGCCTTACTACCCTTTCCATTCCCTCGGGCTGGAGACCTGGAAAAGGAGGGATGTATACATTTGGCTCCTTTGAACCACCTGATGACAGCAAAAACTAGAGTGGACATTTAACGGCTCTGGAGGATGAAGTGAGCATGTTCTCCCTCAGGCTTGCATTAATGAGATAAGGCAGGGAGTGAAATTAGAAAATATAATCATGCATTGCCTCATAGTTTGCAATTACAGCTACAAGATTCGGCAACGTAACATATTCAAATGATAAATAAAAATTCTGGAGGGTGTAAAGATGCTGTGTGTACACAGAACCATATATTCCTTAGTGGGTCAGTTAGCAGGACTGGGGTGATGGTCATTACCTTGCTTCTGTTATTATGATGAAGAAGCTGTCCAGCAATGCTATATCTTGTTATGAGGTGCACAAGCCAGAACTCCTTGGATTTCCAAAAGCCTTTATACCGTTTACTGTAACCATCAATCCTCTCTATTCTCAGAATTAGATGGCTTTGTTGGATATATCCAAGTTATAAGCTCAACCACGGCCATACAATAGCCCCTTTACAGGCAACCACTTCAAAAGATGAAGAAGGATTGTCAGATCGACATCCCCAGATATAAGGGCCACTGCAAAGTATAACCCTGGAGCTTCAGCCTCTGCTTGATGTAGTGCTGAGGAGTTGGTTTGTTCAATAATAAAGGCTATCCATTACTTCTATGGAGCCGTAATGTTTAGGAAAGGGGGGCATTCCTTTAAAACAAAGGGTTGTCTGGTAATAGGCAGTAGAAGTAATGTCCAGGCTTATACTGCAGAAAATAAAAAGGTATACGAAAGAAAAGAATGGCATTTAAATGCATCCAAGAGCTATTGTGTTTTTGCTCGTGTGTTGCTGTGCTCCCCACCCCATAGCCATCTGTCTTAACTTTCTGTATATTTTCATCTGCTCATCATTAAGCCTGAGACCTTAAAGTGTTTTCTGTAGTGAAAGGCAACACCCACACCACACCACCTTGTTTCCCAGTCGCTATCAGAAATAATTAAGGGAATTAATATCAAATCAGGGAAGCCATCTTATGTAGCAGAAGAAATATTCCAGCCCCTAAATTAGGTCTGGTGTGGATCAGCCTCCAGACTTGCTTCTTTCCATTCCCAAAGTTACCTGAATAAAACATGAGTGAGGGAAAGCTGGTAGGAGGTTCCACAGTGAAACCTTTGTTAGGTTCTAAATGTCGATATGATGCCATGTACCATATCTATTTCCTGTGGTTGGTTGACTGCTTTTGGGACTGAAGTGGTTTACTCTGAAGTACCCAGCACATTGGTGGACTGAATAGAAGTTTGAACTGGCTGACTACAAAGTTTGCAAACAGCAATTTTCTAATTTTTTCTTTGGATTCAGAAATCTGCATTGTTCATACGTTAAAACCAAGTACTTATGCATTTAGTTCTTTGTGGACAATTGCTGTGTTGCTTTACACAAGTATGGTTCAAGAAAATTTGTTCATTTTAACTATTTGCAGGTTGTTACTATTATTTATTTAACTTATTAGTCGCTTTGCATTAGCATCTCAAAGCAACTTATAAACTATAACGTGCAAAAAACAAAATAATTCAAAGCAAAGCACAATATGAGACAATTAAACTACAAAATGTCTTCACCTAGCACTGAAAAAATATCCCTGGAGAGAGCCTTCCGTAGAGGAAATGGTTTAGAACTCAAACATACCAATAAAAACATGAGATGGAGATGAGTGCTGCAGAAAAGCATCTGATATAATCATAGAATTGTAGAGCTGGAAGGGAGGCCCAACCTACAATGCAGGATTCTCAACTAAGGTATCCAAGACAGATAGCCATCCAACCTGTGAACAACACTGTTGAACAGCTCTTATTGTCAGAAAGTTCTTCCTGATGTTTAGTTTTATTATGCTTTTATATTCTGCTAGAAGCTGCCCACAGCGGCTGGGGAAACCCATCCAGATAGGCAGAGTATAAATAAAACAACAACAATAATAATTATGAATATCCTTTCTTGTAACATAATTCCCTTGGTTTGGGTCCTACCCTGTGGAGCAGGAGAAAACAAGCTTGCTCCATCTGCCATGTGGCAGCTCTTTAGATATTTGGAGGTGGCTATCATATCTCCTCTCTGTCTCCTCTTTTCCTGGCTACACTTAGCCAACATCCTTAACCGTTCCTCATCAAACTTGTTTTCCAAATCATGTTGGTTGCCTTTCTCTGCACACATTCTAGCTTGTCAATATCATTCTTAAATAGTAGTGCCCAGAGCTAGACATAGTACTCCAGGTGTGGTCTGACCAAGGCAGAATAGGGTGAGACTATTACTTCCCTTGATCAGGACGCTATACTTCTGTTGATGCAACCTAGCATTAGGGGTTTTTTTCCTGCTGCATCACAATGGTAAGCTTGTGGTCTATGAAGACCCTTAGATCTTTTTCTGGCAAGCCCAACTTAAATTTGGGCAGCTGGTTCTTCCTGCCTAAGTATAGAACCTTACATATGTAACAGCTACAGTTTAAGATCATTTAATGAGAGGAAGCCAACTGAAATGCTCAGCACTCTGTTAAGGCCAGAGTGGAGGAGGAGCAGCAGTGTTCTCATGACAACATTCTCAAAATGAGCAGATTGCTGCTCCCATGCACTCCAGTCTGACTTCCAGATTGCAGTGTTCCCAGCCTCAACAGGGTGCAAAGAAGGTCCTTTTCTCAGATGCCTCCCCCAGTGCATACCAACAAGGCACTGAAATTGCCAAAGCTATTGAGATTTCTTTACGGTAGCCAGCTATTGCACAGAAAGTTTGCTAAGATGCATTTCCACTAGAACAGCAAAGAAAATGTTTTCCGCTCAGAATTGCTTTGCACATTTCTGTTCCTGACAAGTATTAATAGAACCACATGTGAATGTCTGTTTTGTTTTAGAATTAAATGTGCCAGAAAGCCAGTATTAGCTTCCCAGCAAGTCTCCACCCTCTCATCTGTATAATAAAGTTTATTATAAATTAAAATTTAACAAAGCTGATAAAATATATGTAAATTTATATAAAGCTATATCGTAATTCAATGATCCTAGATCTAAAACAAGTCAATAAAATAGTACAGTAAGTGAAGTGAGGTGTAAATATACAATCATACCACAGAAAACTCTTAGACATGAAAATATCTATACCTCACTTTCATAAAATAAATAAATGGTAAGCTTAAAAAAAATCTCACTTTTCATCTACCGCCCCTCTATCACAGGTGTGGAAACTGTAGTTTGAAACAGATACTGTAGTTTGGAAAAGATACTAAGAGTTTTCTATTAGGAATTCTGTTCCAATTCTCTCCCCAGCGAAGACTTGCACACCATATATAAGTGAGATACCTTTAAGCCAGTTAAAGCTTAGAACCAAAAACAAAGAAGTGTAGTGGCCATGGATGGGTGGGTGACACAGGGATAGGCTGTTGTCCTCCATGACCAATGTTGTTCAGACAGACTAAAAAGAAAGCAGTAGGTCTGCTGAATTTATTGCAGACAGGAGTGGCTGCCTGGTATCACCTGACTGCCAGGTCCAGAACATACTGGGAACTGGCTATATCCTCTCCTGAACTGTCTGCTGCAGTTCTTTCCTCTGAGCAGCAGTCACATTGGTACAGGAAATAAGAAATCAGTCTCTAATGCCACCATGCTTGGCAATACTAGCACTACTCATTTGGCAGTCTACTGCACCTTGGCAGTACTATGGCTGCTGCTTATATTGTTAATTTTCTATGCATCAATAAATGCCAAGACGTCCAGGATACGACAACTGCAGTGCTGCAGTTGCTTTGTCCTAGATGTCTTGGCATAATTTCATTTATGGTAGTGTAGGAAATGAACAATATAAGCAGCAGACATAGCCAAATACATGTGCACAGCATGGTCAGTGCTTTTAATTTGAAACAATCAGCTGCCCGTTATAACCACACACAAGATGCTACTTAATGCTATACTATGTACTATTTAAAAAACAGCAGCTCAACATGACCTAGAGTCCCCTGGAACTCTTAAGTGCTTACCACCCCATCACAAACAAAGCCATACTGTCTGCCATTGCTTTTATTACTGCATAAACCCATTAGTTCCAAATATTGGGCTCCAGTAATGACAGTATACCGCCATGGATGCTGCAATACAATTGGGTTAAAATATTCATTACAATAAGTATTAAGCAACCTAAATTTAGTGCATCAAATAAGATTGGCAATTAGGCCTAATTTGAATGAAATACTTAATATACTGTGATTAATGTGTTCTCTGCATTTTTATTCAGTTAAAGTTAATGGAAATTACTTATGCTGATAAATAATTCCATCGAAGTGCTCTTAAACGTGGAGCATAACAGGTGTCGTCCATGTTCTTGCCACTGCTGTTGTCCTGGGGATGTGCTGTTAATTTGCCATTAGTAATTTATGCTGCATCTTCTTATCTTTGTATTATTCATTTTCTGCTTAAACATCAGGCAAGCAGTCCCTGCAGGGAAGAGATTAAAGACAGATACAAGTGAGGAAATATTTTTTTCTTGCCCCACCTTGCAGAACTCAACAAGAGAGCATGAAAGGGCACTTAACGCTGATTGACAGCAGCAAAGAGGGACTTCAGCCACTTCCTAAACATACTGTGCATTCATTAGCAGAGCCTAATTCAGAGCTGCTTCTCTGAATGGTTTTACCTCATATGATACAGACTTGTGCGCCTAAGTTCCTAGGTGGTCACAAAAGTCAGCAATTTTGAGCCACTCCAAAAGTTGCCATTTTTTGTGCCAGTGGGCACATCTGGGATTTTAAACAACTGCGCTGGCTGCCAGTCACAAAATGGCAGCCATGTGGGTGGGCCACATGCCATAATACAACATAGCTGTTGTGGGGCATGCCACGGAACAAAATGGCTGCCACAAGCAAAAGAGCCCAAAAAAGAGACAAGGTTCCAAAATTGTCCAGACATGCCCCCCTCCCCCACCATCAGCTACCTCATCAAGGGTGGGGAGAGGTAACTACACCACCACACTCATCCACAGCTGAGAGGGTGGGGGTCCAATGCTTGCTTCCAACAATATGAGAAAATGTTTAAGGGGTATGTTTAGGGTAAGGGTAGCTGAGCCAGTGCAAACAGGAACTGGGCAGGAAAAGATAAGAGTCTCTCTCATGCATTGTGGATTTTTGAGGGAATATTTACTGACCTATCATGGTCAATGCATGTTGTGGAGGGTGGGGTGATTTTTTTAATATAAAAAATCAATCCTCCTGTCAGACTGGGAATATCCCCTCCCTCACCCAGTTTAGGATATTCCACCATTCTTCAGCAGAGTTTCTTTTCTTTCAGCAAAGTAAGCCCATGTCAAACAAAGCTTTAATAATACAAATTGTAGCGCAGTATCATACTGTCTGAGAGAAACTAAAACAACATCATGAGGCAAGAATGACAGTTGGCCTCTCTAACTGAACACCTGAAGGGAGGGGCTGATTCCAGAGCACAACACAAAAGCCCCGCCCACCAGATGCCAGACGTTTTACTATTCAAATAAGGCCCCAGTGTTTTTCTTACAATGCAGGAGGTACTACTGGCAGAGGTGGATTTAGGGCAGCACAACTGTTTCTGCTGCACTCGGTGCCATGCTTAGGAGGCTGCATGGTATCACAACTATGCCATCGTGAATTGAGCAGAGTGGAGGGTGGGGGGTGCCAAACTTTGGGCTTACATAGGATGCTGCTGAAATTTGAAAGACCAAAATCTGCCCCTGCTGCTAGCCACACTGGCACCCACAGCAGCTATCACCGTGACCCCTGAATTACAATGAGAGTAACCAATGATCTCTGTAAAACAGTTTCCTATGTTTACAGAGAAATTGAGTGATCATGATTAAATTTGAGGAAGAAATGGCTAAAGATTTTTAGACCATCAAGAAAAAAACCTGTTTAGACATAAATGTAAGATGCTTGTCTTACCAAAGATTCTTCTAGTTTTGCATATTTCAGACATATTGTACTCAGGATGAGCCCTTCTAGCCACATATATTTGGCTGATTTCTTGCTTCCAAAATGAAATACGAACAGGGAACTCTGAGATAAGCACACAGACACAAAGTCAAGACAGCCAAGTGAGTGCAATTTTTTTAATGACTGCTTAAGGTAAAAGCAGAACTTCTAGGTTCAAAAATAGTTAACACATCACAGTTGCCATAAATATGATGTTGGGTGGGAACGGAGAAGCCATTAGCCTGATAGTGTCCTTCAAGGCTAGGCAGCAGATGGTTGGAAGAATCCTCTGGATTATCAAGTCTAGCTTTAGGGCTTCCTTTTCTCCTGAGATTCATTTAAGCCTTTTAAAAATATATTCACAGGATGTTTGACAGTCGATGACAGAATATGCTTTAATGTGGACAAATATCTAGGTTAAGAGACAGGTCTTCTTGTTACATAAAACAGCTGGGCAGAATATATACTGTATATACTGAGAACAATATTAACACCATGGCACTAATGTAAATCCCACAAATATGAAAAGAGGTTGTCTACCAAATTATTTTTGACTTATCAGTTTGTAGTCTGAAGGGAGACCTTTTTATAACCTTTGCTATGAGACAGTGATGCAACACCCAACAGTCTTTGCTTTCCGCAGGGCAAAGACCAATTAACCATTACCAACTATGAGGCAGCCATTTTGGGAGCAACCAAGCTATAAAAAAGTGATTTTTTTTAAAGTCAATGTGCAATAATTCTCAAGGAAAATGTACAAGAACAATCCAAACATTTAAAAAAATGCATTTTCTTCTGAGAAGCAGGATGTAAATTAACTACCATTACCTGGTAGACAGTTAGGGGTCATTTTTTCTCCCAAAGTCAGCAGTTTCCAATGTCTTAGCCATGCAAGGTTTTCAGTGGAGCTAAGCATGCTGGGACCGCAGGGAACCTTTTAAAAATATAATCTGACTCCACATGACCATTTTGAAGAATAACCAGAAAACATGCCTTAGACGCTGACAGACCAAGTGAACAGAGCAGCGCACACTCAAGGTGCACAGTAGGGGAAATGTTTCTCATGCACTCCTACGTATATCACATAAAACAAATCCCATAATTTTGGGAAATGCCTCACAAAAATGATTAAAATAAAAATGATTTACAAATACAACTAAATTATGTCAATCTTAAATTTGTTCATTGATTTCCCTGGCCCCCCCTCAGTAGAAGGTGAATATATCCAAGTTGTTTATTTATTGAAAGTTTGTTAAAACAAGCCAGCAAAAAGTCTACCTGCTACAGATCTTTACACTCCAAGTATGTACTGGCAAGTCAGTGCACTATGGTGAAACTTGCAGAACTACGGCTGCATCTGCACTATAAATTTAAGCGGACCCGGTCCACCCATGAGGCAAGCTGAAGCAGCTGCCTCGGGCACTGAAAGCCTCTGAGGCGATGCCCCCATGGGCGCCACCTCTGCCATTGGTGGAGGAGTGGCTCTGGCACAAGCACTGACTTCAAGTGAAATCTCACTGAAATCTCACAAGGTCTTATGGAGTGTGTGAGAGATCTCAAGAGAAATCAGTACCGATGACAGTGTCACTTCTCTGCTGGTAGCACAGGCAGCGGAGCAGGCAGCAAAGTGCAGGGTGGCAGTGGCAGGGCAGGGCAGGGCAGGGCAGGGCAGTACTTCCTGTTTTGCCTCAAGTAGCAAAATGGGATGAGCTGGCCCTACATTTAAAGCAGTATCATATCACTTTAAACAGACATAGGCTCGCCCCAAGGAATCTGGCAACTGTGGTTTGTCAAGGGTGCTGAGAGTTTTTAAGAGACCTCCTATTCCCCTCAAAATGGCTTAGCTATCAATCCCTTTTCTTCCCAGGGAACTCTGGGAGCTGTAGCTCTATGAGAGGAATAGCAGTATCCTAACAACTCACAGCATCCTTAACTTATTATAGTTCATGAGGTTCTTTGGGAGAAGCCACAACTGTTACATTACCTACCTATCTGTTTCCAGGCCCAATCTAAGGTGCTGATGTTATTAACCTTTAAAGCCATAAACCATAATTTAACATTACAAGGATGAGCTACCATAAGTCATGGGCTTCACTATTTCTCCCCTCCTCCTCTGGCACTACATGTTCGCTTATGTTTTAGATTAATCACAGCTTGTTGTAAAGTTTGCACCTTGATAAACTTAACTATAGTTTTTTGAAACCAACTAACTGCAAACCATGGGTTATGAAGCTGACTTGCTTCAAGAAAACATAGGCAAAACTAACCACAGTTTAGGGTTTAGATATAACACTGAACTGAGGCTAATGTAAGGCAGAAGCAGATGCTTCCAATGCCTTGTGAAGGAAGGAGCATGGAAGCCCAAGGCTTGCTGCAGGTAAACCACAAAATGCTAAGCCATGGTTTAGCATTATGTTCAAATGTGTATATTTTTACAAACAACAGAAATGCTTTATTGAGAGAGATGGACAGTGCCCTGTCATTTTGGCCCAGAATTCCATTAAATAATATTCCATTTCATGCCACTGTGTGTGGAGGGGGTGGGGAGGAGACATATGGAAGGAATCTGGAAAATCCAGGTGTAAGGCCCCCCCCCACACACATTGTTGATGGGTCATGTCATTTCACAGACAACAGCAATAATAGTGATGATGTTCTAGCTTCCTATTTGGGACCTTTTGCATTTTCCCAGCATGTTCTACCAGGGGCATGAGCCTGCTGGGTGACCTTCCTCAGAAGAAATTGACAAGGACAGATCCCACAATTATTAACCTTTCCACTTGTTTCCATAGTTTATTGTGACAAGACAATGCAATAAGCTTGAAGGTAATCAAAAAGCAATTTTGTAGTAGTGAGCTCAAAATGACAAACCTTCCCTTTTCTAAATAAATCACCATTATTCCCACATGGCTCATGCTTGACAAGTTTGTTTCCTTAGTAACAGAGTACTTAAACAGGGGCTAGGTACATCTGCATTATCTCTTTAACCGTAGATGTGGAAAAGGAGGCAATTGGTCAATCTCTCTCCCTCCCTCCCTTTCTCTCTTTCTCTTTTCTTGGAACTGTAACGAATGAATCTGTCAGCCTTGCAAGACAATGGGATGGTTTTTAGCAAGACAAGTGCAACAGTCCCCAGATAGCCACTTGAGTGTTGAACAGTATTCATGTACTCCAAGGGCTTCTGCAAGAACACTGGCTAAACGGAGTTTAATACTCTCCAGTGTTTGCTCAATAGCTTGGCTGATGCTAAGGTCAGCTGCCTTATAAATTATGGAACAGATTAAGGCGGTTGGGGCTTACAGGAGGAAACTATGAGGCTATGCAGTAGGCAAAATGAAACACGGGGCATGTCTTGTTCAGATTCAGTGGGGAAAGGTAGGTATGTGTCTGCGGTGCTGATTTTGAACCTTCAACTACATCACTGAAAGCGTGGATTTACTTTCACTGTCATAGCACAGAGCATCGCCTCTTGTCGATACTACATGATCATTTTGGATGGTACTTGAAACATGGTGCTTGACCATATCAATAGCTCGTGTGCTATAGCATACCCTCAAAGTGGTCAAACAACATTATAAAACAAAAGCTTTTGCAGATGGTATTGTCTTAACCATGGAACAACAACAACCTTTAGAAGGTATACTAGAATTATTAAAGGAGATAAATGAATTTGGAAAATTGGCAGGTTTTAAAATAAAGATAAAACCAAAATGTTAGTTAAAAACATAGATAACCAAGTTAAAATGAAATTAGGGGACATTACTGGCTGGAAAATAGAGAAAAGAGTGATTTAGGAGTGTGGGTATCAACAAACAATCATAACATCTATAAATATAACTATGTGAAAATGTGGGGGGGATAAAGATATTTAGATAAATAATAATAATAATAATAATAATAATAATAATAATATAATAATAATAATATAATAATAATTTATTATTTATACCCCGCCCATCTAGCTGGAGTCCCCACTCTTCCATGGGGAGTTTTTTTTGGGGGGGTGCCTAGCCCTTGCACTCACCCCCAAAGCCCTGGCAGCCTGGACCGTGTCGTCTTTTAATCAGATGACACAGAGCGCACCGCCATTCCCTTCGCAGCAGACCGGAACTGCCAGAAGACCCTTGGCACTGGACCTCAGTGTCCGGGCAGAACGATGGGGGTGGAGATGCTCCTTCAGGTATACTGGAACCAAGGCCGTTTAGGGCTTTAAAGGTCAGCATCAATACTTTCAATTGTGCTTGGAAATGTACTGGGAGCCAGTGTAGGTTTTTCAAGACCGGTGTTATGTGGTCTCGACAGCTGCTCCCAGTCACCAGTCTAGTTGCCGCATTCTGAATTAGTTGTAGTTTCCAGGTCACCTTCAAAGGTAGCCCCACATAGAGCGCATTGCAGTAGTCCAAGCGAGAGATAACCAGAGCATGCACCACTCTGGTGAGACAGTCCGCAGGCAGGTAGGGTCTCAGCCTGCGTACAAGATGGAGCTGATAAACAGCTGCCCTGGACATAAAATTGACCTGCGCCTCCATGGACAGCTGTGATTCCAGAATGACTCCCAGGCTGCACACCTGGCCTTCAGGGGCACAGTTACCCCATTCAGGACCAGGGAGTCCTCCATACCTGCCCACATCCTGTCCCCCCGAAACAGTACTTCTGTCTTGTCAGGATGGGGCAGAATGTAATTATCATTAATGGGGAGAATCTCAGTGATAAAAGTGAATATTCTCCCAAAAATGCTATTTTTAGTCCAAACAATCCCAATCCTTAATGATACACAATGCCTAAAAGATTGGAGAAAAGACCTGTCTAAGTTTATCTGGAGGGGAAAGAAACCTAAGATAAAACATAGGATTCTTGTTGATATAAGACAGAGGAGGTTTTGCACTCCCAGATTTGGAATTGTACTGTAGTTTGAAGCTGCCTGCCTGTGTTGGATAAAAGACTGGATTTGCTAGAAAATACACAGTTGCTTGATTTGGAGGGTCATGATGCCAAACACGGCAGGCATGCCTATATTTGGTATAGCAAAGTGGGAATATGTAAAAGCTTCGCCAACCATGTTATTAGAAAAAACTTAATTAGAGTGTGGGAAAATACAAAACTTTATTAGAAAACAAAACAC